CACACATGCTAGTCTACTTTTGAAGCAGCAGTTATGAAATCTCAGCTAGTGTAGTATAGTGGTTAGAGCACAGGCCTTATCAGACATGGCCAAACTTGGCCCTCCAGCTGCTTTGGGACTACAATTCCCATCACCCCTGACCACTGGTCCTGTTAGCTAGGGATGATGGGAGTTGTAGTCCCAAAACAGCTGGAGGGCCAAGTTTGGCCATGCCTGCCTTAAATGATGGGAAAACATATTTCTAATTGCTACTAGGCCACAAAGCTTAATGGGTGATCTTATCCCACCCTCAACTTAACCTACCTCTTAGGGTTGTTGTCAGGATAAAGAGGGTGGAACTCTGTACACCATCTTAAGAGCTTGGGAGGAAGAGGAGGATGAAAGTGTGGCCAGCAGCATGTATGTGTGAAGGAACCATTAATTTGATTCATGCCAATGAGGGTAATGTGTTCAATATTCCAAGATTTCCAAGGGATTTAGACATACCTCATTTTGAGCCCTTCCATCACAGCATCAGGAACCAGCTCTGGGTTATTCCTTTCCTCTCAGTAGAAATGTGTCTTTTACTTGCTCTGGCTTATTCCCCTTGCCTCTTAGTGTAATTGTGTCCTTAACTAACGGTGGCTGCAATGATCTTTATTATTAGCATGTTACAAGGTTTCCCATTTCAGAAGGGTGAGCCCAATTGTTAAAAATACAATGGATGTAGCTGGAATAACCTGCTTGAAATTTCTGGCTTTGATGCATTAAACATAAGTTCTTTCTTCCAGTGGTTTCCACCCATAGCAGACAGAGCATCATTATACCTGACATTTACCTTATAACCATGGTATTCCTGTCATAAATTAAGAAAGAACTGGCAAAACTGACAGCATGCTCAGGGAGAATATATATCTAACTGTTCTCTCAATTATTTCTAGTAGGGTTAAAATAAATTTATTTATTTATGGAACTTTTTAGAAGTACAGTGGTACTTCGGGTTAAGAACTTAATTCGTTCTGGAGGTCCGTTCTTAACCTGAAACTGTTCTTATCCTGAGGTACCACTTTAGCTAATGGAGCCTCCCGCCGCCACTGCACCACTGCTGTGCGATTTCTGTTCTCATCCTAAAGCAAAGTTCTTAACCTGAGGTACTATTTCTGGGTTAGCGGAGTGTCTGTAACCTGAAGCATTTGTAACCCGAGGTACCACTGTATGTGGAATTAAAGATAAGGTGCTCATTTCTCCACCGGTAACAGGTTTCGACTTTTAAACTCTTAAGCAATTTTTTTTTTTTTTTACTTATTCATTATTTTAACAGAATTTACAGCATATACCCCTTAATTGTCAAAAGCTCTAAGTGGTTTACTGCAAATGTGTGAGGTGATGGAAATATGCTTGATCTCTCTCTCTCTCTCTCTCTCTCTCTCTCTCACACACACACACACACACACCTACCTTTTCCTTTATCAAAACCTGGTGATTATTTTCTTCAAACTCACCCTGACTGCTGCAGATCATAGCTTGTGTTATGGTTTTTCACCTTTTGGCGAGTTTAAAACATCTGATATCCTACTTGCAGAAAATGCGGACAATAAAGGCACAGGAAGAGGGAGCTACCATCTGCTGTAGCTTCTGAAATGAGGATTCACACATTTCTCTGATGTGAGCGTACATGAACCTCTTTTTGTAATGGGAATTCCTGAACTCCTGCTTTTGGAAATTGGATATTATTTTTACTGTGAGTAAATGGATACAGCAAATGAAAAAGCCACACATTCCAGGTCATTCGGCTGCAAAAGAAGCCCGCATTTCCCCCTTTTTTTTTTATAAAAAAAAAATCAGCTCTTCTGAATATGCAAAGCAGCTCTGAAAAATCAAAACCAGAGCAACCATATAAAAATCAATGAAACAATCTATTTCACTACACAAAAAACAGGAGTTACTTAAAACAGTAGTAAAATCATACATTATGTGTCTATGCAAAAGTAAGATCCATGGAGTTCAGTGGGATTTACTCCCAAGAAAGTAGATATGGGATTGCAACATGAAAACTGTTTTCAGAGATAACCTAAAAGCAGACAAAGAGAGAGCAGGGCATAACTATCTGAGGGGCAAATTCTACAGTTATGGTGCCACATTGACAAGGAAGTACTTGACAATACCAGGTCAGATTGAACATCTATATTGGTGTCTAACAAAGTGGACCTCCAGGGTCTCTGGCAGAGATTCTTCTCAACTCATGCTATCTAGTCACTTTGAGCTGAGATGCTAGGGATTGAACCTGGGACCCTCTGTCACCGAGCTATGCCTCTTTCCTGAAGCCCATTGCAAAGGTGGGTCAGAGGAACCAATCTCGAGCTTGGGCAACCTTGGTATATGTGCAGGTGGTTCTTAAGGTAATCTGGGCCCCTGCAGTTGAGGGCTTTATGATGCATTCAGTGGTAGTTGGTATCCATTGGAGCTGTTAGGATGGAAGGCAGAGATGTCAACAACAGGTGACACCAGAGCTAATGCCTGGCACAGCCAACTCGTTCTGCATTTGTCCCCATCCTCCACCTTGCTGAGCATTACAAAGGCAATATTGAGACCGAGAAGGAAGAAAACCTGGCAGCCAGGGCCATCCCCTGGACTGAATATTAGTAAGAAGGGAGAAAGTTGGGGCTTGGCTGAGAAAGATAGAGGTTGGTGGGGTAGTGCCACATTAGAAGAAGAGGAGGAGGATGAGGAGGAGGAGTTTGGATTTGATATCCTGCTTTATCACTACCCAAAGGAGTCTCAAAGCAGCTAACAATCTCCTTTCCCTTCCTCCCACACAACAAACACTCTGTGAGGTGAGTGGGGCTGAGAGACTTCAGAGAAGTGTGACTAGCCCAAAGTCACCCAGCAGCTGCATGTGGAGGAGCGGAGACGCGAACCTGGTTCACCAGATTACGAGTCTACCGCTCTTAACCACTACACCACACTGGCTCCATTGGACCAACCACCACTGGTTCCATTCTTCCCAGGGACAGCCCAAGGCAAACTTGAGGCAAAAGATGATGCTCCTGTCCACTGCATGTACAGAAGTTGACCAGACTTTCAGTTGAATCATACTGCAATATTGGCAATGAGGGATCCTCTTCCTGAAGGAAGCCTGGTTTAGGAGGCACAGCGAAGGCTTCCTGGCTTTTACATCTCAGTCCTCCATCAACTTACTGCAACTACTCAACTTCCAGCACTTGCCACCTGAGGCAGAATGTCCCCCTTGCCTAATAGTAGGGTAGGCCCTTACCCTTCCTAATAGATGCCATCATTTAACTAGTTCAGTTAGATATTCCTGTACTATTTCTCTTTGAATTTTGTGGTGCACTTACCTTGTTGTGGTTCTTTCTGTCATTAAATCCATCCTTTGTACTTATTTCAGTGCCATTGCTTGATCTTTCTACATCTGGTGCTGGTGAGGGGGTGCATGGGAAACGACGCCCAATAAAGGTGAATGCAGCATAAATAGATACTAACCCTATCAGGCAATAAAGAAATAGTTGCACTAATGTGTGTGCTTTTTGTTTTTGTTTTACTGCACAGAAATGCAGAAAGTGTTGCCTGTTGGAATTCTAAACCACAGGCATCTGTTCTCAGCCACAGAAGCTCTGTTTGTAAAACCAGGTGGCAGAGGGTCGTGCACATCACTTTGTGCTCTTTGATCGGCGGAATAAACTTTCTGATAAAATACCAATTCAGGAGGGGTTAGGAAAGAAACTGTAAGATCATTGGCTAACTGCCTGAACCTCCGCAGGGATACCTGTCTGAGACTTTAAGAACCACAGCTTTAGTCCCTTAAAATGTTACGGATCTGATGTGTGTTTATAACCATACACTTCAATAGTACTTGAAAGCACGGCACTAAAAATGACATATGTCTGAAGTTGCCAACTTTCCCAAACCTAAATCCCACGGACATATACCATGCCATATTTTGGAATGGTGCAGTTTAATACCACTTACCTGTTACTGAGAGGTACTAAAAGGCAGCAGTTTGTTTGGGGTTTGTGTGTGGGAGACAGTGAGTGCACTAATAGAAGCTTGGTAGAATGTATGTGTTTGCAAATGCTTCAGTTGTGAGTAGGGATGAATGGAGGGATGTGGCAGTGTTGATTTCTTTCCGTTTCTCAGTTTCCCAGGGCTGAGTTCGGTATGTTACATTTCTGTATCAGTTTGTGATTTATTTATTGTTAAAGTCCCCGTGAAAATTCATCAGTATTTCCCATAACATACAGATTTTTGCAAGCAACTTTCCCTAATATATTGCATTTTCCTATATATACACACTATTTTCTGCATTTTTATGCATACTTTCCCCAATACGTGAATTTTTGAACACACATTCTTTGGTTGGAGAAGCAAATAAGATGCTTCCATACAGTAGGGTTACCAGATGTCCCTGGTTCCCCGGGACAGTTCCTGGATTTGCAAATCTGTCCCTGGACAAATTCTGTCCCCGGAATGCCCCAGATTTGCAAATCTGTCCCCAGGAAATGTGGCAGCCACAGCCTCAGCAGCTCCTGAAGCCAGCCAGAGCTAATTGCACTACCAGGCTGGCCCCTCCTGTGCAACAGCTGCCCGCCCATGACTCCCGAGCCTCCTCTGATCTGTCAAAAGAAAGGAGGAAGGGGGAAGGAGATCGGGGAAGGCTCGGAAGTCATGGGCAGTCAGCGTGCTGTTGCTCAGTTTTTTAAAAAACTCTGTGCATTTATGTTTCACAGGGTGCGAAAAAAGGGCTTTGCACCTTTATACAATATGCATGTGTGATATTGGGCCCAGGGTCTTTTGCCTCACCATCCCCACTACTGGCTCCCTGAAAAAAATCTGGTAATCGTACCATACAGGGTTTTTTTTTTTTTGTAAACATTCTTGCAAAGGGATGTTTGCAAAGGGCTTTCAGGAACCCCCTGCAGAGGTTTGAAAGAGAACTGGGGGTTGGAGGCACATTCCCGCTTCCTCATCACCTGATGGGTGAGTGGGATCATGCCTTCAAACACTGCTGGGATAGTTCGGTTGGGAGAATATGAGACTCTTAATCTCAGGGTCTTATAGTTTTGTGCAGATTAGGTCATGTTTTGACAATACAAATGCTTTATGTTTTGTATCAAACCAGTATATATTTTATTGAATGACATTGTATACATTGCAGCAGCCTTTGGCTTTAAGCAATAAACTTGACTGACTGACTAATCTCAGGGTCTGGGGTTTGAGCCCCATGTTGGGCAAAATATTTCTGCATTGCAAAGGGTTGGACATTGTTTTCTGTGTGCCTGACAGTTGTTTTTGTTCAGTTTTGTTTAAAGTGAAGTCTGTTTTACTCCTAAAGAAACTGGTGCAGATTCTCTTTTCTTTTTTAAAAAAAGCCAGGACTTCATTTGAAAACAAAAATAGTGACTGCACCAAGCTCACGTGCTTGGTAGGCAACCTCCCTAGCTTCCCACACTTTGATTAAGGCTCTAGGGGAATCATGAGGTAAATTCTGCCCAGAATCATGAGGTAAATTCTGTCCAAAACTCTGGAGAGACCCATAGCCACCTTACAACAATAAAGTAAGCTGACCCCTGCACCCACCAATGTTATAAAGAAATTTTAAAGTGCATTGAGAAAGAGACAGGAAAATGGACACCTCTTTCTCATGGGAAGAAAATGTTTGAAAAAGTGGAGGACAGATTTTGGCACAGCAGTTGTCCAAACCCTTTAATAGCATAGGTTCAACATGTCTCAAGTACAGTTGAGTGTGAAATTATCCACAGATATATAAATAACATGGTTATTTAAGGAAACCAAAGTTTACATGCTTTTATTAAGAAGTAAAAAATATTGGGTGGGGAGGCGACGGGTTTGAAGACAAACTAATTTTGCACTTAACTTTGAATCATAGAACCTCCTGCTGAAGAAGAAAATGGTGTCTCCTAGTTTGTCAAGTATTTCTTGTGTTGATACGGGTTTGTTATTTTTGTAGAAGTCTGTTAGGCGATATAAGGCTTTGGTTTGCCAGGTTTTTATCCGGAGGTTTTGTGCTGAAACTGAGCTGTAGAAAATGTAACTTGAAAAAAGAGACATTGCACATATTTTTGTAAACCAAGAAATCTTTAATAAAAATATGAAGAAGAAAATTGTATAGATGGTTCGATGAGAGAGATGGATCTAGACAACTGGAACCCCAAATTCTTGGTTGCAGGAAAATGTAGTTCAAAATTCACCCCGAAAGAAAGAAAGAAAGAAAGAGGCAGAAGCTAAAGAAAAATGTTTTGAAATTCCATGCCCTGTAGACAAGCACTCACTTGCTTGCCTCAGTCTCTACCATCCAAGTGAAGGGGAACAAGATATCTAGGCTGAAATATTCAGATTTCCCTTTGAGAATTCCCTTTCAAAAATATGCTGAATAAAAAACTTGCAACCAGAGGCACCAGGTTGCCCCCAACATTGGGGGGGGGGGAGAGGCTGGGTGCGTTGTGCATGTGTGAGATGCAGGAGGCCGAGTGCTCTGGAGGAGCAGCCCACTGGACCTGCGACATGCATTTGTGACGTCACACGCACCTGATGTGCATGAGGGCCCCTGGCTCCTTTAAAACAAATATTGACGGGGCCAAGGTGACTTCACTCTCCCCCCTAGAATCGACACGCCTGTTCCCAACTGCCCATTGATAGCCAAAACCAGTTTAATTTGAAGGAGGATGGGTTTGATCATTATGATTGGAAATAGGACTACTTTGGTATGAAGTGTTCAGTCCACACGCTTGGGGTCAGGGAAAATAGACATTCTCTCAAAAGTTCACGTGGATGAGTGAGAGAAGGCCATGTTCCTCACATATGCGGAAAAGTTATAGCATCTGGGTTTTGTTTTGTTTTTACTTCAGAGAAATGTTGAGTAAAAGGCAATCTGAGAGGCAACATGATAAAATTATGCATGGTATTGAGAAAGTGGATAGTCCCTCTCTCATAATGCTAGAACTTTTAGGTATCCAATGCTGGAAGATTCAGGACATACAAAAGAAAGGACTTGCTGTTGTTGTTTAGTCGTGTCCGACTCTTCGTGACCCCATGGACCAGAGCACGCCAGGCACTCCTGTCTTCCACTGCCTCCTGCAGTTTGGTCAAACTCATGCTGGTAGCTTCGAGAACTCTATCCAACCATCTCAGCCTCTGTCGTCCCCTTCTCCTTGTGCCCTCCATCTTTCCCAACATCGGGATCTTTTCCAGGGAGTCTTCTATTCTCATGAGGTGGCCAAAGTATTGGAGCCTCAACTTCAGGATCTGTCCTTCCAATGAGCACTCAGGGCTAATTTCCTTAAGAATGGAGAGGTTTGATCTTCTTGCAGTCCATGGGGCTCTCAAAAGTCTCCTCCAACACCATAATTCAAAGGCATCAATTCGTCGGCGATCAGCCTTCTTTTGCAGAGGGTTGCTCTGTGGAATTTGCTCCCAGAAGAGGCAGTGATGGCCACCAACTTGGATAACTTTAAAAGAGACAAAGGATAACGCTTTAACCCTGGTGGATATTGTTTTACCTCCACTTCACAGGCACCAGCTGGCCACTGAGAACAGCACGCTGGACTAGATAAGCCACTGGCCTCCTCTTATGTTCTTACATGTACTGCATATATACATTTGCAGACAAACACAAATGGAAATATGGGAAGCTCAGGTGTTCTAGCATGGAGTCAATGGAGATATCAGGACTGAGTAAACATGACTAAGACTGCACTGCGTATCTGTGTCAATTATTCACCAGTTTAGATGTTCTAGTTGAAACTAGCAATCCAGTGGAGCTGAAAAACACTTGTGAATTATTCATCTTTTTCCAATACAGTTCAGCACCATTGCTTTCTCTAGCTTTTGCTTCCTGGGACTTCCTGAATTGATTGCATAGATGAGCTCACCCAGTCAAGGATAATAAAATGGATGGGATGATGTCATGCCACTAAGTCTGATGTGATGATGTCAGTAAATAAAATCATTTGGATTGACATAGCCATTGGATTTGGCTACATTATGACATCACGAGGAACACTTTAAACAAATAAGCAAATGTTTTTAGTATCAAAATTCTCTGACTTTTGACTCAACCTTAACTTAAGCAGTATAGTTAGGAAAATGAGCCTTACTTATATATATGTAATTTCAGAAGTGGAGCTGAGATGATGTTCTTACACAGAATGTTTATGTGCATGTGAGTGGACACAAGCATATCATGAACAGCTCTGGTGTGGGTGTTTAGCCTTTATCTTCTTCCAGAAACTACATACAATTAATAGATGAAGCTGTTTTATGATTCATTATTTCTGTACCTAGAGGATGATTTTTAAGAGCCCCATAAAAAGCAGGAATGTCAAAGATTGAAAGGCTTTTTGGTTGATTAACTATGGTGCTTTCACTTATTAATCAATGGATTGATTGATTAAAATACTCAGAATTGCTAAGATTGCCAACACCTAACCCAAACGAGTTTTTTTGTAGACCTGATAAGCTCTTTCTCTCTTTCTTTCTCTCTCTCCCTCAATCTCTGGTGTGTTGTGAGTGTGCGGCTACTTTTAACACTGCCTGGAAATTCCACCCCAGGCAAAACTCTTCCTGGTGCTCAATTTAAAAGCACAGGATTTTGGTTTAGCTAGGAAGTGGACAATGATTTTCTCTCTCCATAACAGCACTAGTTCCAGTTGTGGGCCTGGATCCAAACAACAGCATGCTTTGTCCTACTCACCCATAGGAGATGTAACTAGCATTTCTCAAACAGCAATTCTCTATTGTCCCCAGCAACCTTCTTCTTGGAACTGAGTTTAAACAGCACTTTGTAAAATGACTTGGGATGTCTGTGGAACGCTCAAAGGACAGCAGTCAAATATTCCACTGGGTGTAAGTGGAGTAGCTCTTTAGATAGTGGAACATTGCCTTTAAGCAGTTAAACATTTTCCTCTTCTCATACTTCATTCATCCAGACCAAGTCTGTGGTGAGATGCCATCTTGCAAGAGTTCAGCCCAAACCTCCAGGTTTCATAAAAAGCCCTACACATGTTGGGTTCAGCCCAGATAGCAAGGCCAATGACTGGAAACGATGGGGGTTGTAATTCGACATCCACTGGAATGTCACAGGCTCCCTGACCCTGTTGTCAAGGATTCTTCAAAACTGCCGGTCATTTTTATTGGTATATATGAAGATGTGTGCACAAAATAACAACATGGTTCATTTTTAATTACTAAGCTGAGCTTAGTAATGAACACAGAACACAGTTGCTGGAATATGGTGTGTTCTTCACACTCTTACAAGAGAAACTCTGGAGACTGCTTTGCCAGGGAATTGGCTCAGCCCCTAGTGCTAAATTATGCAGTCTTGTATAGCCCACTATGATTTCACATCTCTCTCTCTCTCTCTCTCTCTCTCTCTCTCTCTCTCTCTCTCTCTCATAGTTCCCAGCTTTAAGAGGTTGTGGGGCATATCTGCAGCTTTGCTACATTTCCATCTGCACTGATAGATGGATTGTGTTATGTTGTGCTACAGATGGCTAGACAAATATAGGATACAACCCTGAGAAAGTGCTTGAGGCTGCAGTTGGGAAGTATTTTTAATTTTATTTATAAGAATATTTATAAACTGCCAACTCATAAAAGATATCATGGCAGGGTATTAAAAAGTCGTTAAAACATCACACCATTATAATATCATGAAAGACGGAACAAATGACCAACACTGAATTAAATTAGTTCTCTAAGGATGCAAAGCAAAACAGGAACCTTTCCAGCAAGCAACAAAATATCAAACTGGAGGTGCCTGTCTGATTCGAATAGGCACAGCATTCCAAAATACCGATGCCCCTAAAAGTCTTCATGCACTTGGAAGCTAAATGGGTATGATATAACTGTGGGACATTTCAAGAGGGCTTTTCCAGATGACCGCAGTGATTTGGTTGGTGCGTAAGGGACAAGGCAATATAAGGGAAAAGTAAGGCAAGTCAGTCATATGGAGTAAACATGGGTAGAAGGTCACACTATCCCATCTATTTAACTGAGTTATCAAATTCCATTGCTTTCATCCCACTGACCAGCACATTGTCTTGTGCCCAATCCATTCATTGGCTTGTGTTTGAAAAAGTGCTCTATTTCAATCTTGCTAGCAACCTCACACTTGGCACTGCTTGGGAATTCCAAGAAACCTAAATATTAGTGTAGTTTCGAAAAGTTCAGTCTGCCATCTTGATTCAAAGTGCTGTTTTCACTAACATATTTAT